GAAAAATACAGAGGCATCAACATGCAGCTTCTCTTTCTCTCTCTCTGGGAGTGGGAGTGCAGTATGATGAAAAACATAGATGACATAAATGTTTCTTGTGTCATATACATCACCTTAAGGAAACAGTTAACAGCAACCTTCAGAACGGAACATACAATATCAATCTCAGTTCTTGTTGCTCTGATGCATGAATTTGTTCAGGTTTATTGAGCTAACAAGTTTCAGTAGAAAGTAATATGGGATTGTACCTGCTTTAAATTTCCCGAGAAATTCGGCAAGCTTTCCCAGGATATGATTATTTACACCACAACTGAAAAGAAAATGAATGGTAAGACTTCCACATACTCCAGGTGGAGCTAATCATATGTACGGAAGATAGAAAGCATGAAAGATATGTGCGGAGCTCGACCAACATTCTCCTTTTTGTACTAGAGTATACACTCATAGCACCTCAAAGAGCTCAAAGTAAAATACATAAAACTGAAAAGGGGCTCTTTTATAAATGTATTGGGAAGAATTTGTCACATTACATAGTTTGATCAGCAGCGCCTTGGTATAAATTATGATTCTGACATCTAACTAAAGCCCATTCAGGAAGTTAGATTATTGCCAAAGAGTCCTAGTGTGTATGTGATGTCTATCTAGACGTTTTCACATTATTTTATTGAAACTCAGAGAAAAATGTAAATCGATGGTTTCACGAAAATACATCACTAACGCACTATATAATGATTACAGGACGTTGCTTTGGCAATGGTTTCTATGAGACCTATTCCCCTTGGTCCAATGATGGACAAGCTATCACTGACACCTGAAAAGTATGGAGCTAGTCGAAGATTTTATATCCAGACATTGGATGATCATGCTCTTTCACCAGATGTCCAAGAAAAGCTTGTGAGGGAAAACCCTCCTGAAGGAGTTTTCAAGATCAAAGGGAGTGACCATTCTCCATTCTTCTCAAAGCCACAGTCGCTGCATAAGATTTTGGTCGAAATTGCTCAGATTCTATAGTGTTAGTTTCCTTTAACAAGAACCAGGGGGGAGTTTTCTTCATAGAGAAAATGGCTTTCCTAGTTTCTTGTGGAGGCTGTAGAATCCATGAGGTTGTTGGTTGTACAGAAGACAAAAATGGCTTGGCTTGTTTTATATCCATATTCATATTTTCTTTCACTTCTAACATGAAAGATATTTGTTCATAGTTGAAATATTTTCTTGTAGTTAAACCCGAGGTAGCATTTAGATTTGAATTATTCCCAACGTAGATCCACTTGTGGCCTGTGGGTAGCACTTTGTTCTCTCTATTATTGATTTCTAAAGAAACACTAGAGCAACATATACTGATATTTCACATCTTGTACTACGATGTACGTACTCCAAGTTTCTTCAAATTACAGCTTGATCTTTTTTTATTATTATTTTTGTTTTTTTTCTTTATGTTACTATATAGACAAGAGTGGGTTGCTCTAGTAGTGAGCACCCTTCACTTCCAACCAAGAGGTTATGAGTTCGAGTCACCCCAAGAGCAAGGTGGAGAGTTCTTGGAGGGAAGGAGGGAGCCGAGGGTCTATCGAAAACAACCTCTCTACCCCAGGGTAGGGGTATGTCTGCGTACACACTACCCTCCTCAGACCCCACTAGTGGGATTATACTGGATTGTTGTTGTTGTTATAGTTGTATGTTACTATATATGCTGAATATATATTTAACCTTTATTATTTTGTACTGGTGTGCCAAATGTTTTTTCTTTTTAAGAGTGGGAACTAGAATATTGAAACGGGCAGAGAAGCTTGTTAGAGAATCTTAATATAACTAAATACAGTATCTCATTAGCAACTCAATCTCATCAAATTCAGATGTCTAGTTTACAGCTAGTGCTTAAATACTAGTTTAGCCTCAATTAAGATCATTTGTTTAAAAATAATTCCTCGTTATTATATCTACAACAACTAAGCTTCTTGTTTCGTCATTATTATTGATTAATGTTCCATTATTATGAGAGTTAGCTCTCATTCCCAAGATTTGAAAACAAGTAGTAGCATAATTAATTAAGAGAATTATTCCATTTAGGACGAGACAAAAATGTATAGTGCGTTTACACTAAGTGTTAATCGGACGGGCTGGTCCGGGCTAGACATGATAAAATAGCTCGTCCGGTTACTGAGGCGGGTTGGGTAGTGGGCTGGGGTACCGGGCTGATAGTGGGCTGGGATTTTCCGGGTTAAATTAGGACCGTCCGGGTTCGGGCTTATCGGGTCCGGAGCTGGCCGGGTTAATTCTTTTTAGTATATTATGTTTCCTTATTCAATGTAATTGATTCTTAAGTGTTTGCAAACTTTTAAATAATAAAATAAATATTTTAAGGCATAAAATTAAACTTTTAAAGTTTAAAGTTTTAAATTTGAAAGTTGTATTTTAAATTAAAAATTGAAATTAACAACATAGCACCGGATGCAGACGTAGAAACTAAACTTGAAGGAATATTTGCATTTACAGCAGAAGAAGTATCAACAATGTTAACATAATAATTATATAGAGCTTGTAAATATTTGTGTAGATAAAAAATACAAGTTTCAATAACAGGGATTTCAGTTGGTCAAATATCCATATAAACATATAAATGAGTGATTAATTGACGACAAGTAGCCATTTTGATAGAAAGGTTTAAAATAGCACCAATTAGGTAAATAGGGGAAATATGATAGAAATATTTCTTAAATTTATCTAGCATAGATTCAACAACAGAACTATATCCTTCTTTTTTCAAGAAATTATGGAGTAAAAGAGAAATTTCAGCTATATGTACTAAACCATTTGCAATAGTAGGATAATAAGCTCTAGAAAACTCAAGTGTAGCTATATAAATTTTTTGTAAAACTTTTACAACATCTTTAATGACATGCCAAGTACTAGATATTAACAAACGGTTAGGATCCGTACAATGAGAATTAGCAACTTCAATTATAGGCATTCTATATTTATAACAACATCTTAAGAATAAATAAGTATAACTCCACCTAGTAATTATTTCTTCAGGCATGAGTCTTGATTTTAGTCCATAATGTACACATTTATCCTTAAATACATTTAATCTAGCACTTCTATTATTTTCTTGAATTACACCAACATCTTTTCTAACTAAAGTAATCCCGTTTCTAAATAATGCAAGGCCACTTTTAACAATTAAATTATAAATATGACGTGCACACCTCAAATGAAATATTTCAGGAAGTGGTGGGTGTAGATGTAATATTAATAGTGAAATAGCAACATTGTTGTTAGAAGCATTATCAAATGACATACACAAAACGTTTTCTGAAAGATTGTAAATTATAGCAACTTCAAGGATACTATTACTTATAAATGCACTAGTATGACTTTGATCTTCTTCATATTTAAAAATAATAATACATTTTTGCATACAAAAATTATCATCTATCCAATGGCATGTAACAATCAAAGAATCATTTTCATTAACAACACGACCAATATCATAAGTAAGAGAAACTCTACAAGAAAGACTAGCGAACAAATAACGAAAATATATCTGATATTGTCCAAAAAGTCTAAAGATATCAGCTCTACAAGTACTTTTAGGAATACCTTTAAACAAAGGGTTATAAATTCTTTGAATATAAGTAACAAGATATGGTGAAGTAGCAAAACTAAAAGGTAAACAACCTAAAATAATTATTTTAGCTAATTCTTCCCTATCTTTCACTATATTGTATTTACCCATTAGACTGCTAGTACCCGGGTTAAGTTTTTGTTGGCCAGATTCTTCATTAGCACCACATGCAATAGGGTAGTTATCTACCATGTGCCTACGAAGTTGACCCGTTCTCCCTTGCTTATCTCCGGTCTCATGTTTATAAACTTCCTTACAAATAGTACATCTTACATAATTTTTATCTTCTTCTAGTCTTTCAAAAAAAATCCAGAACTTACTTCTTATTCTTCGATTCTTCTTAATGGGGAGACCTACCTGTATTACCACGACTGTCACCCCTAGTATTTTGACTAGCAATACCATGTGTAGGTGGTGTGTTTCAAGATTATTAGGTGACTGAATATCTTCTAAATTATCATCTATACCATAATCTTCTTGAAGTTGCTCATAATCTACATTTAAATTTTCAGGTGAACGTTCAGAAATATGTGTAAAGCTACCAGTACCACCTCTTGATCTTTTAGGATTTTTACTCTTACTAGTACGACCCTTAGTAACACATGTTTTTTTGGCTGTTCTATATATATCCATTATGTAAATTTAAATTTAAAAACTAAATTAATAATTCTAAATAATAAAATAAAAATAAACACCAAAGAAGAGAAAGAGATGCAACGAGTGTACCGGGAGTCCGGATACCGCACTAAATTTGATATCACACTTCAATTGATATTTGATGATATTGATACCACACTTCACTTGATAATTATAATTTTTGTAGTGGCTACCGTAAATATTTGATAAAATTTGAAATAATAAGTAATTGAGATCTTGAGAGCAATAAGAAATTCAATAATCAAGAGAAAATTGAGAGAGAATTAGAGTACAAGAAGAGAGTAAATTATGAGAAAAGATGAAGAAGATGGGGGCTATTTATAGTTTTTAAAAGGTTAAAAATGTAATTTATCAATTATTAGGGTTGGTTGGCTATTTTTATTAAAAGAGTAGGCCGAAATGGTCAAGAATGACCGTAGCCCAACGGTTATTTTTGAATTTGACCGTTGGCAATGATAAAAAAAAATTTGACCGGGTTAAAACCGGGTAAAAACCCGTTAGTGGATTACCGGGCTAGCCGGGTTTCGGGGCACCGGTTAGCAAAAATGGCCCGCCCCCGTCCGGCTCAACCCCTAACCCTGACCGACCCATCCCACCCCTTAGCGGATGGGGCTGAACTGGGTCGAACCGGTTGTTGGGCTGGCCCGGCCCGTTTAGCACAGCAGGACCACCTTCCTGTATTTTCCACTCTCATCATTTCCCACATACCAACAAAAGGTCAAAGCGAAAATCAGTTGAAGTTGAACACCAAATCTGCAGTGCCATGGCTTCTATTTCTAAAAGGACAGCAAGTGCTCAGTCCTTTGTCTCTGATCCAGTACTCCAAATGCCCAAAATAACACAGGTCTGTCTGTTTTTGTTGTTTCCTTATCATACTACCCTTGTTTGGTCTCCTTTTGTTTCTCCATCCCCCAACTAACCCAAAAACATGTCATTTTCTTGATACTTATAGTTTGTTCTGAAAAAGCAAATCACTAACAAAAGTCCACACTGTGGTAATGATCGTTGAATCTTCTTTTCTCTTTTTCATTTTTTTTGTTGGGTTTTGAAAAAGAAGTTCAAGATTGGAATTTGTCAGCTGAAAGTGACAACAGAGAAGAGTGTTAACATTCTAAATGCTCGTAATCTAATTCAAGTTGCTGCAGAACAAGGTGCAAGTCTTATACTTTTGCCTGTGAGTAGCGTTCCCTTCAGTACACCCTTTTAAATTTTAGCTTTAAATATCAATGCTTATCATTGCTACGCTGAGCCTTACCTTACTTTATTACTCCTTCTGTTCGGTTTTATACAACACTCTTTTCTTTTTAATCTGTTTACAAAGATCGAGACATTTAGATATATTTGGAAAACTCTTAATTGACATATGCTTATGACATGTTTAAGACGACAAGATCAAAGAGTACTTTTAAGCTATGCACATAGCTTAATAACAATGTGGGATGTGATGATTGAATACATTTCAACCATTTGTTGTAGGAAATGTGGAATTGCCCTTATTCAACTGACATGTTTGCAAAGTTTGCTGAGGACTTCAATGATTTAGACAGCGCCCCGTCATTTCTTATGTTATCTGAAGTGGCTTCTTCCTTAGGAGTCACCATTATAGGTGGATCGATTCCGGAAAAGGATGTTGGTCAGCTGTACAATACTTGCACTGTGTTTGGACCTAATGGAGAGTTAAAGACTAAGCACAGGAAAGTAAGCTTCTTTTGATAGTTCACCAAAAGGTCTTGCGAAAGTCAAAGAATGTATATAATGATAAACTTTGGTTGCACAAAGAAAAAGTTAAAGAGGTTATTGGAAGAAAAGAAGTGCAAGACTAGCTAGAAATGTAATTGTGCAATGCCTTTCTGCAGATACATTTGTTTGACATGGGTAAGCCACTTCCAGGAGAAGTTCAATTTAAGGAATCAGACAGCATTTCAGCAGGAGATAAGCCTACAGTTGTTGATACAGGTAGGCAACTGTTTCAAAATATTAGCAGAATAGGTGCAAATGGCTTCCTACTTGAAACTGTACTTTTACAAGTCTTATAACTGAATATATTCAGAATTTCTGCAGATTTTGGTTGCATTGGAATAGGAATTTGTCATGATATTCGATTTCCTGAACTGGCAATGTCGTATAGTGCCAGAGGTATGGTGGTTTGCATGTTTAATTGTTCTCCTTAATTGCACCATGATGTCTATAAATATCGAGCTTCTTCATATGAGAATCAGGTGCTCATCTAATATGTTATGCTGGAGCATTCAACATGAGTACTGGGGCGGCCCTGTGGGAGCTGGAGCAAAGATCAAGGCAAGATGATTCTGCCTCATCTAGTTATGAATATCGTTGACCAATAAAGAATTCTTGTAGAAATAGTGTGGTTCACTTTGGATATTTCCCTCTGATTCTCTCTTCCTGTCCACGATGTAACAAAATGTGTCTGCTGTATTGTTATAACTGATAACTGCTGCTTCCTTACTGCTTTTCAACTTTGATTTTGCAGGGCAGTTGATAACCAGGTAATACCATGTTACTTTATAATGATAAACCTCTTTGTCTTGTAATCAAACTGAAAAGACATGTAACTGCATTTGTCGTAGCTTTATGTGGCATCTTACTCACCATCTCGAGATTCAGCCAGTAGCTACATGATATGGGGTCACTCCACTGTGGTTGGACCGGTATGTAAGAAAACTGTATATGTAAATCTGCAAGTAGTTATTTTGGATTGCAAATGTCTGTATAGAGCAATCAAAGAGATCTATCTTTGTTTTTCTGGTGAGCAGATGGGTGAAATAATTGCAACCACAGGGCATGAGGAAGCAGTTCTAATTGCTGATATTGATTATGCTGCGATTCAACGAACAAGGTGATGCATAATTTCTTGTAAAAATTGATTTAGTAGAAGATCTTTACCTTTCTTCACTTTGTTTGAAGCGCGTACGTGCAGGGAAAGCCTCCCTTTAAAGAGACAGAGGCGCGACGACATCTATCAATTTGTAGACTTGCTTGGATACAAGTGCTAAGAGGCTTTAAGAGTAGGGCATTTTGATCAGATTGCATATCATGGCTAAATGAAATTCTGAAATGAGATTATGCAGGAGTTCTTCATCACCAAGAAAATGCTTTGCTAGTTTTGTTGGCAACCAGTGCTTGTATCAAAGATTATTCCAACTTCCAAGAGGCATTTGTTAACAAGTTTGATAATATTTGGCATTTCATCAAAAGATTATTTTGATAAAAAAGACTACCAGGTTTTCGGATAGGTGAATTTTATGTGTATGCACAGTATATTCAATATCTCAATAACATAGTGGCTTGTCATATTGATGGAATACAACATTGCTCTTACAAAATCGAGTCATTGCATGAAGAGAAAAATCCTAGTGATACAAAGACCCTGCTAATCTAATCTAATCTAATTTCGGATGGTAAAATTGCTCCAAATCGAATAGTAGAGGGGTAAAATTGCTCCAAATCAAATAGTATTTGTGAGAACTTTTTTCGGGGGGCTTTTTCCCCAGATCGTATAAAAGAGGATAAATTTAAACCTTTTGGAATAATAGCGGGCAAATTTGACCCTTCTTCCTTATCTAAAGTTTGCTAGAACTAAATTTGTAAACCTTGAAGTCCACGCCTCATCAAGTTAATTTATTGTAAAACTAGTATCTATGAACATGTGTTGCAAGTTAATAATAGCACGTGATAATTTAAAAATTATTCATATGAAAGAACAATAAAATTTAATTAATAAGAGAAATTTTATGTATAATAATACAACAATCATCTAAATGCCGAAAAACATTATTACATTAGCATAATACATGAATTTAAAATAAAAGAAAATCATCAAAACTTACACAAATGATCAATTTTGTCATGTTAGTTAGATAATTATGTATTATAGTTTAAAAGTATTTAATGTGATAGTATCTTAACGAACACTTCTTTGTGGACAATATATTTTTGTGTATATTTCCTCCTAATGCTTTGGTTGCTCTGCCTTAACCAGAACTCTAGTTGTCGATCTTGATATCCCTCTTGAAAGTGCAACATATAGTTATTCGTGCAAGAAAATATATTGCGGTAAATATAGTCCAATATTTAGAATGTTTGTTTTTGTGCTTTATTTATTATATTTGCAAAACATAAACATACTAAAAATTATTTTCACACAAATTTAAAAGGATATTCCTTAGTTTCGAAAGACGAAAGTTGAATTCAGAGATAAGAATATACTTAGAAGCACATTGACCAGTATCATAAATTTTGCATGTATGACGTTGTTGTCAAAACTTCTATATACCATATGTGTGCTATTATATAAGCTATTCGACGCATTTAAGTTTTTCAGTAGCATGACAGACATATTTTTCTTCAAATTCAACCTATATACAATGGAAGATCAACTTAGTTTATTATATATACGGTGACACTAACATACGTAAGAAATAATAAACTTGACAACAAACAGGTACGGTAGAAGGCCGTTTGGTATTAAAGTATTTAAGTATTCTTCTTGGTTGTAATTATTGGTATCATTTTCTGCTTAGTCAAAAATAGAAAAATATTTTGTTTTGCTATAAAATTTTGCAATCAACCTTTTATTTAGTTGATCAACATATTCATTTCTGCTTGCTAAAATATCCTTTTGATTCTATTATGCGATTTGCACAAATTGCATTTTAATCTAATGATAGAAATATTTCTTTTATTGGATGCATACTATTACCATTGGGATTGATAACCAACTGTTCAGGAAGAACCAAATCATCTTTTATTAGATGCTCTTATTCGTTTCCGACACGAACCAAGAAGATACTGAATATTGGATCTGTTCTTACTTTATATTTCTTGTCAGTTGAATCTTTTTCATTTGAGCTAAGAAGTATAACTTTGTCAAGCTAGCTTTTACAGTCTCTGCTTTTGTCAATTTTGGAATTAATGATAGTACTTGACATAAATTACCTCCTAAATCATTAATTTTTTACCAAACGGTTCATCAATATTCAATATATCTCTAGAACTCCGTTTGACACTTAGCCACAAGTGTTTCATCCCATATTTATGAATTTTGCTTTCCTTATAAATTTAGCACCATTGCTTTGCTTTGATATATTTGTGATATTTATTTAAGTTGTTTGAATATGTATATCAAATCTAAAGTGGGTAGCCTCACAATAAAATCGTTGTTGGTACACCATTTGCTATTATTGCTAACAATGTCATGCCTCTTGATATGATATTTGCAAGTAATACATGACATAGAAATATTATTTCGATTCCGCCGGAGGCATCTACAAAGAATAATCCCGTTATAGCAGAGTCGACTCTTTAAATTATAGTCTTGAAAACTTGTTCTTATTTAGGATTTAGCTTTGATTGTGCTTCCTCAGACACTTGTATAACATTTTGATTCTTAATAATATATTAACCTTTTTACTTTGTGTTCTAACGCTCTTTTTATGGAATAAATTTATGTACCATAAGATTTTTTTTAACTTGAATAAGAATTTTACTCATGTGATGAATTTAAAAAATAATTGAATTGGATTCTCTTGCTAAATAATTAATTAAAAAATTTAATTATTTGATTTTAACATAAAAAATAATTTATTCTATGTTGATTCAGATCTTAATATTAGTTCATCTTATTTTGAATATTTAATCTTAATTATAATTTTATCCATCATAAATTTTATTTTCAAAGAGTAAAAGATTGATATGACATTTCACTTTTAGATCTTTATGTATGTAGAATCATTAATGGTATTGACTCTTACCAATCATTTTTTTCTCTTTCTCACACATTTATATTCTTAAATATTTTCTTAATTGTTGTTTAATAATTGAGTATTTTTTAATATTACATACAAAATTAATAAAATAATATTATTTGAGTAGAAAAATAGTTCAAATATAATATAAAAATATATTATCGTGAGGGTATTTTTTTTTCTCGATGTCAACTCTTTATGCAGTCCATTTAATATTACTTTTATTTTTTTAGTATTGGACATTATGAAGTGGTAAGGTATTGCCAATACGGAGGATTCTGATATAATTTATTTCATTAAACCTTCCTACATATTTTTAATAAGAATGTAATAAACAAATTTTATCAATTTTAAAATCTTAAATATTAAAAATTAGCATAGAAGGTATTGTAGTCCAAAAAATAAGTTATTTCAATTATGCCCTTTCCCTATGAGTTCTTCCGTTTAATATTTTAGGGCTATTTTGGTATATTAATATTGTATTTATGCTTTTATAATAATATAATCTCTCTTTTTTCTAAATGGATTTAGACAATATAATACATTCTCATATTAAATTAGTAATAGGACATTATAATACGTTTTCAAATTAAATTAGTAATAATAATTTTTAAAAAGTATATCCTAAAAGTAAAAGGATTACATGACTAAAGATATTTACCTGTTCAATTTTATATGAATTAGACAGCTGGAAAGTAATTATACTAACTAATATCTAGAATTTCGGTTATGTCCTTTTATTATGAATTATTATGCTTAATATTAAAATGTTATTTTTGTAAACCGACATTGTACTCATGCTTTTATAATAATATAAATAGATTGATATCAGACAATATGATACAAAATGGAGTTGTTGATCTTCATGAAATTGGTGATACATTATAATCTGATGGTTCAAAAACACCAAGTCAGTAATACACACAAATAATAGCAATCGTTCCTACCCCAGGTTAAATGGATAAATAAAAATAAAACTACCACCTTGTAAATATAGAAACCAAAAACCAAGACTAGTCACTTATAAGAGCTTCTCATGCTAGACGCATGTCAAGCATTTGACATTATCCCTCTCTGGAGGCTCGGTCAGTATACCCTGTGCCAAATGAGGACTATCGCCTTTAGGAGACAGAAACCCTGGAGCTTCTTTCCTTGATGGAAATCTAAAGTTTGAAGAGTTCTGGAAGGTGAGCATTTGTAAGCTTAGTCCTTTTGCTGATCTCGTGCTTCTTCTTCTTGGTTTTGGGCTTCTGGACAATCCCGTGAACTTGGGCCATTGCCCTTCTCTTTGCAGTGTTTGTAGCTGGCTTCATCCCGTTCTTCTGGAGATCCTTCTCAATATCAAGCATGTCACGTGGTAATTCAATACCTCTGAATAGCTGCTTCAAATCATCATCGACCTTAATAGGTACTCGTGGATCATTTGGGAAGGCAATGTCTTCCTGGGAGTCAAAATTTGACAGAAGCCATATTTGACCAGCACCTTTGAGTGCCTGCAGAAAAAATACCAATATCAGTACATTGAAAGCAATACTCAAAAATAGTTTTTTTTTTTAAATACTCAAAAGTAGGTTGGTATGACAAATGTACCTGAAGGTCCTCCATGACAGTTGGGTATGCATCCTTGAGGTCGATGACAGCAATACCCTCGGGGAATTTTCGTATCAAGATAAGTAGTTGGTCTTTATTTTTCAAGGCATGTTTCGACTGTTGACAAATTATAAGTGAATTAATGTTAATTGATTCAGAGTTGGTTGCAAATCACTTAAAGACGAGTAACCTTAAAAGAGTCTCCTAGAAGACCTTGCTTTACCTTATAAGAGAACCGATTGCCATCATAATATACTTTGAGATTGTTCCTCAAACTGTCAAACACAGCTTTATTGCCATTTATATCAACATGACATGCTTCATTAATCTGTTCTGGTGTGAAAGCTTGCCTTGTCTGCACGTATGAAAATTAATCAATTATCAAAGTCTAACTATTACTACTAAACAGAACAAGACACAGATTTCCCAATAAGATAAGAAGGCAAGCCACTATACTACTCAGGGCATATAATCCAGCAAAAGTGGAGAATTACGCAACATTCTTGGGGCATTACCTTCTCAAATTTGAGAGTTTCAAGTACCACAGAAAAACTCCTACCCTTGAATGGACCAAAAAGAAGTTTTATATCTTTTTTTCCACGGATGTTTGGTCTGTGTTATTTTGACAGTAATTCTAGGTAGTTACTTCCAGTAGCATCAGGCAAGGAAAAACGAAACAATAGTGTGTAAATTTAATCTACCAACTTGAAGCTATAAGAAGAAACACTGCAGGATATGACGTGTTATGCGGTTGTGCAGTAATGCCTGCTAGGAAATACGTCATCCTAAAATCGGTTCGCATGATATTTTGTTAATTACTCAGTCCTGCTAAAAGAATAACGTCATCATCAAATAAATGTAGTAGAAAGGTATTTCAGAAACTCATTTGAGGCATGTATGTTTATGGTTATTCAGCAAACATGCAAAAGACTTTACTTGAAGAAGGGAACAGATATTTCAACTAACAA